CCAAGGCAGGGAGAGGAGGTGAGGGAGAAAGCCCCCAAAGCAAACACTGACTTCTCATTGCAGGGGAGACAATAGCAGGAAGGCAAAGAGAAGGCTGACTTGGCCTTGACTTTGGAATCCTTTCTCCCTCAGGCCAAAAGGTGAGGCAGTTTCCCTCTAGACTCAGGGCTGCTTGATGCTGTCCTCTGGGCACCTGACACCAGGCCAGCCCTGAGCCTGCAAGAGAAGGCACAGGGTCTTCCTTGGATACACCATCCCTTGGAGTTCCTGAGAGGTGTCCTCCCCACCGCACCCCACCCCTACCAGGAAATTGTACTTTATTGCTCTCCCCAAGATGGAGGCAAAAAAGCTGAGGCACAAAGCAGTGAAGTCCTTGTCCGAGGTCACAGGCCGATTGCTGACCTGACCCCCAGGCTTTGGTTAACCGGCATCTCCTCTACCAGCAGGACTCCTCGGTGACCCTCCAAGGAGGGGAGCTCAGCTGTGCCAGGACTGTTGATGTCTGTTCCCAAGGAAACCTCAAGGGCAAGTGCCCCACAGAGCACGCTTTCAGGAATGCTGGCCGGCTGGTGGTCAAGGAAAGGCCGGTCTGGGTGCAGACCACTTCAGCCAGGGCATTGAAACATCACTTAGGGGACAGGTGGGTGAGCCGCAGGCTTAGGATGCCAGCAATGGCATTCTGTTGCTCCTAAGGTCAAGACGCTGAACAGCCCCCTCCCCACCTACCTAATGCCACAGGGTTTCTTTTTGCCAGTCTTACAGCCCTGGGATGCCCCCATTCCTCACCCAAGCTGTCACTGCATGTCCAGTGATCTCCAGGCCATCAAACATCAGCCCTCTTGCCACATCTTCATCCACATGAAATCCTCCTGGGGCTGTGTGCCCCAAACCTCTGGCCTTTCAGCAGGCAAAAGTCCTGAGTTCAAGTCACAGTCTAACCTCACCTGGCAGTTCGACCCATGACAGTGACCTCCAAGCTCCTTCTGGCTCAAACATCCTGTTAGTTATCATCTGTAACCCTCACAGGCCAGAAACCCGGTACACAGGGAAGCTCTCATGTCCAAGAGGCTGCTCAGCCTGAGAGAGCTTTGAAGCCTTCACTGCCACGTCCTGTAGGAGCCCTGCACCAGCTGTACCGTGTGCCATTTGTAAAGATGAGAACAAGGCCAGATACCACTGCCAGCCAAAGATACCTGCTCCTGGCACGAGATGCCTGCTCATTCCTTACTCAGGGCATGAGATGGACAATTGGAACCCAGGTATGTCTTACTGCAGGGTCTTGTCCTAAAGAGTCCATCTCTAGGAATACACAAGCTCGCCAGACAAAAGGCCAAGTCAGGTGCAGCTTCCCTCTGGGACCCAGGATGCAGAACCTGGGACCCCAGAGAGTCTCCGTGGCTGTTCCAAGGAACCAAGGGCAAGTATCCAAAGGTCATCCGGTGCCGCTGACCCCTGCTTGGCATATTGAGCCAAGAAGATGCAGCAGGGCCAACCTTGAATGAAGAGCCCCGAGGACCTGAGGCAGCACTCCAGGCAGACCCTGGGTGACTATCAAGCCATCACAGGATCGGAGCAAATGTGCTGTTTCCTCAGACACCTCAGTAAGTCACAATTCACAGAACACCACCCGCCCAAAAGTCACACACACAGCTTAGACAAAGTACAGACGCGGGTCCGTGCAAGCCCCAGGCAGGCCCCTCAGCCAGTCTCAGCCCCTCAGCAGGTTGGCCTGAGTCTCTACACACATCTAAAGAGCACCGGTGGGGAGCAGCAGAAGGGGACAAAGGCACCTAAGCGTTCTCACACTAGGTTCCTGAAAGAACTGCTGCGGAATGGCAAAACCACATTCCACCCAGTGCTTTAACTCCTCCCACTCTCCTCCAAGGGCTCACAGGGCAAGAGGGGCAGCCAGAAGTTCCAGAAGCCAACCCCTGCATGTTATACGGACACCGTCTTCAAAGTCATGGCCTTATTCAGGCACACCTTGTGCCGGAACAGCTCTCTGCTCGCCACTGTCTTGCATCCCACTTGGACCTCCACACGTCACCACTGAATGAAGGGGGATCCCTAATGAATCCCAACAGGATTGGGGGTGGGAGGACGGGGGCAGGACAGGACACAAGCAACAATAAGGACAGCAGAGAACACAGCACTGGGAGTGATGGTGTCCATGCCACCAGCGGGAAAATGCAGGCAAGTTTTCTTTTACATATTTCAAAACAGTGCACACAGCTCTCTGTTCACAAGGCTAAGGGCACTCGCAGTACTGCTAAGAAAAAGTGCCACGATGCCCGTCCAAGGTCTGGGGGACCTTTGATCCACAGGAAGCTGCGGTCCCAGAAACAAAATTTCTCCTGCTTCAGGCACTTTCCTCCTTCAGACTTCTCTCCCGGGAAACCAAAAACCTGCCTTCCTCCCAGCCCCCAGTCACCCCACTACCCCCTACCCGCTTCTTTGGGGCCAAATGAAGATGAAGGTGAGAGGGTCTGAGGGCTGGGAGGAGGTGGTGGAAAGTCACGAGATCTGCTCAGGAGAGCTGGCACTAAGATAGTTCTGATAAAAACTTTAAGCCAAAAGCATTCTTCTAGGTGGATAATACTTGGAAAGCAAAAAAAAAAAAAAAGACCCAAAGAACAGGATTGCAAAAAAGAATGCAGGTCCCCTGGGGAGAAGTGGAAGCTTATAAATGGCCTGACTTGCCATTACTGGGTATAATGAGATGACTACGGTACAGAGTTGAACTGTATCGAGAGATTCAGAGCATGCTTCTAAATGGACTGTGATGTCAGAAATACTCTGATGTCATTCTACACGAGCCTCGCGTCTCTCCAATCATCCCCTGCCCCAAACCCATTCCTCAGAGCAGCTCCCTGTGAGGTCCACACAGGCAGTCTGTCTTCAAATGATCATGGTTAAGCAGCCTCTCTGCACAACCTAACAAAAAGTATGCTGCTTGATGGCCACTAAGGACAGACCTTCTCCACGAAGCGGGTGGTTTCTCACAGTGCAACAATAAAATCCTGCCATCACAGAAACACCACAACTTACTTTGACTCACTGAAAAAAAAAGTTTGCATGATGACCCAAATTAGCCACTTTCTGAAAAGAAAAAAAAAATAGGCTTTTTAACTTTTTAACAAGTTCACCAAAATTGCTCCAACTAGAGAACATTTTAGACATCTGCAATTATGAGCTATCCTTCTCCTAACAGATACTGCTGTGAATGGAAAGAAGGAAAGGAGGGAAGGGAGAGAGAAGAGGAGAGAGAGGGAGGGAGAGAGAAGAAGAAAAGAAAGGAGAAGAGAAGAGAAGAGAAAAGAAAAGAAAAAGGGAAGAAAGAGTGACAATGCCAGGACTGAGGGCTGTGTGGAGGAGGTGGAGGAGATGGGGTGTGTGAGGGAGAACAAGCTCTGAGTCAGGGCTGCAGGAGGCAGGCTGGGATGGCAAGGGGACTGGGGTCTTGAGGCTGGGAGTTAGGACTCCACTGAATATAGGGGCATCACTGCGCCGTGCGACTCTGAGAAGGGAACTACAAAGAAAGCTGCCCCCCCCAACCCCTGGGGGCTTCACAGAGCAGGAAGAGAATCTTGGTTTGCCTTCTCCCTTATTCCACCACCGCACACCGGTATTTTCCAAAACACAAACGAGCACCACCACCCAACACCATGGATAATTAATGACCCAGAGAGGGAGCCCAGGCGACTGAGAGCTCCGGGTCACCCCTTTGGGTTTTCTGCTGGGCCTGCACCCCTAAACCCTGGCTTCCCAGTTTCTCTCCTCAGCAACCAGCAGAAGCTGCTACAAGTTGCTGCGCATCCAGTGCAAGTTGGAGGGGTCCCCAGGTGAACTTTACTGGAAAAGGTGTGAGCGTGGACTCCTCCATGGGGGAGCTGTGCTGTAAGGTCTCCTGGGAAGGGAATCACCCAAAAGGCAGGCAGATGGTTCCTTTACCCTCGCGTTTCCAGGTCTTTCTCACTCTGCAGTTTTCTATTCCTGCTGCCCCTGCAGCCCACCTCACTTCCACCCCCCACTACTAACCGCGGGGGGGAAAGCAGGAGAGGGCATCCCTAGGGAGTCGGCTCTGGCCAGGCTGTCTGCCTAGCAAACCTACACATCCAAGATGCAGCAAGCCCCGGTGCGGGTGGGCGCCCACGCCAGGAATAGCTCCAGCCAACAGCCAACCACCTCCTGTTCGCTCCAAGGAGAGGCGCTGAGGCCTCGGCCGCCTCCTGGGCAGACCTCCCGCTCCAGCTGGGACACTACTGGTGGTATTTCCAGGGACCCCTAAGTGGGTGGCCTGGGGAGAAGAGTACTCAGGTACTCAGGCCTCGGAGGAACTTGGGGTTGGGGGGTAAGAGCTCGGCCAGAATATCTAAGGGACAACGCTAAAGGTGCCACCAGATTTGCCACCTCCACATTCCCGAAGTGGCGGCCCCAGGGGTTACCTACAGTACTGGGATGGATCGCCTCAACTTTCTCTCGCCCCCTGAGCGCCCCCACTTTCTCCAGTCACCTCCTTCCCCCATGGGAGTTCCTGGCGTAAAACATTCTCCCTTGCCCCCACCCGAAAGATCTTCCTTCTTTCTGACCCCACAAACTCAGCTCCCCAACAGGTTCCTGAAGTGCGAAGGCTAATGGGCTCCCCCACATGCCCACCCCAGGCCCACCCACCAGGAGCCCCCAGCGGAGCCGTGCAGAACGCGCACCCAGCGTCCCGGCGACCACCCCGCGCGTCAACACCCGGGCGGCGCGAGACCCCTTGCCCGGGGCTGGTCCGCAGCCGCCTCCAAGCCGAAAATAAACACGGGGACGTGGACGGGGTCGGGCGTCCGCGTACTGGGGCGCACCGGTCGGGGGCAACTCCGCAGCCCCAGCGGCGCGCCGCCTGCTGCCCTGACCCGAGGGCACAGGGTGCGCGGCAGCGGCGGGGATGGCGGGAGCCAGGCGCTGCGCGGAGTGGGGGCCGAGCGACCCGGACGCGGGGCAGTGGCGCGCGTTACCTTCGCCTTGCCCCCGCAGTGGCAGCAGACGGTCCACAGGTACTTGAGCGTCCGCCAGAGCAAGATGATGAAGAGGCCCCCGAAGAAAGTCACCATGGAGGAGGCCAGGAAAGCCCACCACATGCGCTGGCCCCGGCTGTCGCACGGCACCTCCATGGTCACCGGGATGATGAGCGCATCCATCTTGGGCTCGTGGACCGAGGACGAAGAGGAAGAGGAGGAGGAGGAAGAAGAGGAGGAGGAAGAGGAGGAGGAGGACGCGTCTAGGCTGAGATGGCTCGCGTGGATATTGCTGCTCATTCTAAGACCGCTGCCTCCGCCGCCGCCGCCGCCGCCGCCACCGCTGCTGCCGCCGCCGCCGCCGCCACCATTTGCCATAGCTAGCAACGGGCGGCCGGCGCAGGGGCTCGGGGGAGCTCCTCCCGCCGCCAGCGCCACCCCGAGCACCCGTCAACAGCCATGTTGCTGCTGCTGCCGCCGCCGCCGCGGGGCGCGGGGAGGGGGCGGGGAGGCGCCGGGCTCGGGGCGCTGTGCGCGACCTGGCGGGGCGCGCCGCGATATATACGGACAGCCGCCGCCCTCCCCCGGCCACCCGCCCGGGAGGGGCAGGGGGAGGGGGAGGGGGCGCACGGGCGGCTCCCCCTCCCCGGCCCGAGTCCCCCTCACCTGGCGCTGCGCCGGCCCCGAGCGCGCAGAGCCCAGGGGGCGCCGCGGGCCGCCCGCGCCCGGGGTCTGCGCCGCCCCCGGGCCCGCCCCGGCTCCGTGCGCTGGCCCGGGTGCCCTAGGCGACGCTGCGCCGTGCGCCACGCGTGTGCGCTGCGCTACGCCCCGGCCGGGGACCCCCTTCCGGTGCGCCTCCCGCGACGCTCGCCAGTGGTTCAGGGCTTCTTAGGTGACAACTGGTGAATAATGGTTCATAAGCCCCCTCGGCCCGGGGGGGGGGGGCCTTCAGAACCAGCCCGCCTCCCCCGGTTGCGCTTGGCTCCCGCTCGCCGCCCCTGGGAGCGCCGGGCCGCAGCAGGTTCACCCAGCCGCCACCGCCGCCGCCCACCGGCCCCTACTTCTGGGACCCCCGAGGCGCGCTGTCACGCCGCCAAGCCTCCTGGGCCTCCTCTCGCTCTTCTCCCTTGTCTCCTCCGGCTCTTCCACGTCCTCGTCCTCTCCGCCTGAACCTCTTCTGCGCGCGCCCCGCGCTCCCCGCAGCCGCCAGCAGCAGCAGCTGCTGCAGCAACTGGAGCGGGCGCGGGCTCAGGCCGCCTGAGGCGGGAGGGGAGGAGGCTTGCCGCGCCGGTTCCCGTGTTCCCAGGCTGGGCAGGAGGCAAGCATATCCCCCAGCGGCTGCCCGCCAAGCGCCGGTGACCCCAGGCCGCGGGGTAGAGCGACCCTAGCCCAGGCGCATAGCCGGTGCCTCTCTCCAAGGTGCTGCGCCCCCAGGCGAGCGCTGTGGGGTAGCTGGGGAAAACAGCGAGGGGTTCCCGAAGCTGACCAGTTTTCCTGGTAAAGCCCCTGGTAGGGGGGTCAGCTGTTAACTCGATGCCACAGACCCAGGGACTCGAAAGCGAAGACGACCTTTGCCCCGGGAAACACCTCCAATTTCCATTTGTGCGGCTCCAGGATGCCCCTATGCCCCTCGAACAGCTGAAGGGCAGCACTGTCCAGGAGACCAGCAGGTGATCTGTGGCCTGTGACAGCAGCAGGTGGTTTATTTTTCCCCCTTTTCCTTATGCAGCCACAGAGACTGCCTCCAGAGAGTGGGTTGGGATGATCCTGGAGACGGCGCCGGGAGTGGTGTGGGCTCTGAGGGCCTGCGGGGTTCACTCAAGGGCCGTCCCGTTATCCAGTGTCAGACTCCATCTAACCACCGTGTGAGGAGGGCAGCAGGGAGACGCCCACTCTGTCCTCGTTCAGGTTCACCTGTCTGCGGAATGATGGAGGAAGAGGCTGGGCTCTTCCAGTGATCCCCTGCTCCCCAACCCTGGGGAAGCCCGCTTGTGACACTTGTAGACTCGCTCCTCCCTTGAATGCCATCCTTCCTCTGCCAGCAGCTGGATCTCAGGTGTCTCCAGAGCCCGATCAAATGAAGACAATCACACTCTTCCCTCTTGCCCAGTGATTTCCTCCCCAAAGTTTCTAGCTCATTAGTCTCAATCTAATTGGAATTCTCAGGTTCCTTTCAGCTTTCTTTCAGTAAAGACCCAAGTTAGCACCCTTAACTTCTAGGCTGGGTCAGCCTGTGTCAACCCCAGCACCCCTCACCAACGGAGGCCTGGCTGGGGCTAGAGGCTGTAGGGACTGGGGCAGCCTTTCCATCCTGACTCAGAGCTTGGGATCCCCATCCACGCCCATGTAACAGAGACTGAAGCCACAGAGGGAGTGAGGAGAGAGGGGAGGAACTGAGAGTTCTAGACCCAGATGGAAACAGGAGCTGCTCTGGAAAGTGAAGTCACCCCAGACTGCCTCTGTGTCTTCAGGTGTGAGCATGGGACTTCTTTGTATGACAACCACCTTGATGATCCCACACACACGAGGGTCCTGTGTCCTCCAGCGCTGCCGTTGGGGACAGGCAGGAAGGTGGTTGTGGCTCTGGCCTTCTAAATGGCTGCCCTGCATTGCATTCATGCCTCAATGTGTACATCAGGGACATGAAGGGACCCAAGATTCCAGATTTCAAAATAAAATACTCATAACAGTTCAAGAAATAAATAAAGCAGCAGAGAATAGGACTGGCTTCTCAGTGGGGTGTGCCATCTCCAGAGTAGGTTTCTTAACCCACAAAACCAAACTTGGGCAGAGTACTCCCCTTCTGGGGCCTAGATTCCCCTGAAATGCCAGATTGGGAGGGGGAACTGGGGAAGGGGCCACTGGCTGCTGGGACTTCTGTAGCCCAGTGCAGAGAACCCAGTTCTTAGCATCTTTGAAGAGGGCACTGGAAAAGCCATTCTCTCTCTCACATACACACACCCTACCCACCTGCCTTTGCTGCCCGAATCTTTGAGCAATTCCTGTGTCATCTAGAACCTTGCCTTGGTTGGGATTCTTCAGAGATCCTCCCAGTCTACTAGCTCTACTACCTTTTCTGCATGGCCTGATGGGCAGCCATCAGACAAGAGAGTGACACCACCTGCCAGAAGTAGTCACAGCCAGGGCCTGGCCCAGCATGTCATCTACAAACTTCTGTGCACCTGGCCTTACCATTCTGTGTGCAGACATGCGCACCTATCCTACAGGGGATCTTTAAAGATGCCTCATCCATTGGGTTTCCCTGTTTGCAAAAATGGAGTAAAAGTATGCACTCCCCTGACTAACTCCTGTGGTTACAGGTAAGGACCAAACAGAAACCACAGGTCTTGTCATTATTCTACCTGCCCCCCCCCCAAAAAAATGCACTAATCAGATCGGGACCAGCTCTTGTGGCCCCCAAAGCCAGTCATGGCCATGTACACATTGTGCCCTGCAGGAAAGGAAATCTGGCTATAGCCAGACTGCACAGTGTAGCAGAGCTCCTGCAGCCCAAGCCAGCTCCCTGACCCCCATCATCCTGCCTGGTCATAGTCCTGAATGCCCTGACAGCTGTGGGAGTGAGACGAGAATAGGGCAGCACCTGTGGAAAGGCCCAGTGTGTCATTCACCTGATGCAGGTGTGTGGCTGGCTGGCTGGCATCTGAGTGGGCTGTAAACTGACCTGAAGCCTCAGTGTAAGCAGAAGTGGTCCCCCCCCCCACCCATTCTGGAAATACTACAGGGCACTTGCCTCTAACTCTCAGAGAGGAGGGCAGCCTCTCAGCCAGGGGCTACTGTGTCTGTGTCAAATTCCAAACAATTCAGAGGTAAACAGTTGCCTCTTAAGTCTTCTTATCAGGGCCATCCCTAGAGACTTCTTAAAAAGAAGTAAGCAAGCATAAGAGCATGAAAAATAAAAGGCAGAGAAACTAAAAGCCAACAAGAATAAGCAAGGTTGTTCACCAAAATGCTTGCCAAGCATCTCAATTTGTGAACCCTGGATTTCATTTTCTGGACCCAAACCCAATACTCTTTCCTGTAAAACTTGTCAGTTTTGCACTGGAGAAGCCAAGGGGTGACTCCCCAAGTAATCTAGCGCCCTCTGGTGGCTCTCCCCAGCATGCAGCATCACTTTCTGAGCCTTCCAAAAGGGGAGTTTTTGTAAAGTCTAAAATGTGAGATATGGACATTCTAAGAGGAAAGGATGCTGCAAAAAAGAAGCCACAGCTGGGGGAGGGGGAAGAATGGGCGGGTGGACACGGGAAAGTCTGAGTAGACTGCAACTTGCAAGGGGCTGGTGAAAGGATACAATGTAAGTATTTAGTTCCAGAGTATTGTACAACAGGTGGCCACAGTTCCTAACACTGTTGTAGACCAAAACACTGCAGTGTTCTCATCACAAATCAATATGCAGTTAACATGTATTACTTCATACAGCCATTCCACAATGCATACATATTTCAAAACATCATGTACGCAACAAAAATAGTTTTTAACTTGTCAGTAAAAAAATATATATATATATAAGATGCTGAAACAAAAGCCATTGACAAGGTTCCTATTGTTCCCAATGCTGGTTGTAGCAAATTCTTAGCTCTAACCTGTACAGGTGTCAGGATTCCCCCTACCCCACGCCTTTTCTTGCGGCAAGAGCTACTCATCCACTTTGAGGAAGAAGCTGAGGCTTAGATCTATTGAATGACGATGCTGTCAGAGTCTGTTACTCTCTTTGTGATGTGTAACAAGAAGGGAGGGCCACAGTGAGTATAAGGCGAGGAGGATGGAGAAGAGCCACTCAGGGAACAAAAATTGAGGCTTGATTTTTTTTTTTCCACAAGAAGCTAACATGCTTACCTCTGATTATAAGAATTCCAGGGCCCGGCACCGTGGCCTAGCAGCTAAAATCCTTGCCTTGAACGCGCCCGGGATCCTATATGGGTGCTGATTCTAATCCTGGCAGCTTTACTTCCCATCTAGCTCCCTGCTTGTGGCCTGGGAAAGCAGTCAAGGATGGCCCAAAGGTTTGAGACCCTGCACCTGTGTGGGAGACTTAGAAGTTCCTGGCTTCTGGCTTCAGATCAGCACAGCACCAGCCATTGCACTCACTTGGGAAGTGAATCATCAGACGGAAGATCTGTCTCTCCTCCTCTCTGTATATCTGACTTTGTAATGAAAATAAAATAAATCTTTTAAAAAAACAATTCCATCTTGCTATACATAGGTAGAATGTAAAGGTTTCCTAGGAGCCCACATTGTGGCGTGGTGAACCAAGCCTCAGTCTGCAGTACTAGCATCCCACATGCACACAAGCTCTAGTCTTGGCAGCCCTACTTCTGATCCAACTACCTGCTAATGGCCTGGGAATGCAGCAGAGGAGAGTCCAGGCCCTTGGGTCCCTGTACCCACGTGGGAGACTCACAAGAAGGTCCTGGCTCCTGGCTTCAGACCAGTCCAGTTCAGACCACTGCAGCCATTCAGGGAGTGAATCAGTGGATAGAAGATCTTGCTGTGTTTTCCTCTCTGTAATTTTACTTTTGAAGTCAACATAAAATAAGTCTTTTTTTTTTCTTTTCTTTCTTTTTCCTAAAAGAATTTAAAGTCACCACGAATTTCATTGCCAATATCTAACCTACAGCTTAAACCATAGTTTTAAACATTGCTTTCACACTTGTTCCCTAGGTATATAATTTTGAAAAATTAGGGTTAGACGACACATCTAATGTTTATACTATTTCTCTTTAACATTAAAATTGTAAGCATTTTGCCATGTCATTAAACATCTTGGAAAACACTATTTTTAAAAATTGGATACTACTCCAGTAGATGGCATACTGCCAACATTCAGGTTATTCCAAATTTTAATGTATTTTAAAGTAGGGGCCAAACTTGTGTGCAAAAAAAAAAAAAATGTAGGTTCTGGAAGATGCACACAAGATTCCCACTGATGTTCCTATATCCCAGCCCTAGCACCTATTGTCTATACCACAAGGATGGGGAATGCCTGACCCATAGGCCTTATAAAGACTCTCAAAGTCACATGCTCTGGCCCTGCTGAGGCAACCACAGGCGAGACATGAAATTCACACACAATTAATTTTCAAGTTGATCATCTTGTGT